AATCCCAACCCCTCTGGTTCCCAACACCCATGGGATCCCATCCCAAATTCACACAGCCCCCCAGGGATCCCAACCCCCCTGGGATCCCACCCCCCTCCAGGAATCCTACCCCAAACTCATGCAGCACCACACCAGATCCCACCCCAGAACTCACATGGCAACTCACAAGCACAATGCTTCCCAGGCTGAGACAGGCCCCTGGCCCAAAGGGCGCCAGCCCCCTCCATTGATAGTTTTCCCAGGGGTGGAGGGTGCAGCATGGCCAGCGCTAGCCAGGGTTGGTGGTGGGAGGCAGTGGCCCTGCAGCGGGTCAGGAATTGTACATGGACCAGGTCAAAGAAAAACGTTGGGGAAGGCAAGGCCTGGAGGGGGAAAGGCAAAGGGGAAGCGGGGGGAGGGGCTGTTGTGGGGGACAGAGAAAGAAAGAGGGAAGAAAAGGAGGGGCTGGTGTTAAGGAGCAGAAAAGAGAGGCATGAGAGGGAGTGGAGTGAGGAAAGAACTGGTGTTAGGGAGGGGTGGGGGGCACGTAGAGGATGGGTCAGAGGGGCTGGTGCAGGGGAGGGGAGGGGCGGGGGGCCAGTGCAGGGGAGGGGTCAAGGGGGCTGGTGCAGAGGAGGGGTGGGGGGAGGGGAGGGGTGGAGGGGAGAGGTCAGAGGAGCAGCCAGGGGGGCCGGTGGAGGGGAGCAGCAGGGGGCTGATGGGGTGTATGGTTTTGGGCCGTATGCCCCAGAGGAGGTGCTCCCCCAGGCGAGGGCAGGCGGCAATGCCACAGCATCCTGACACAGGTGAGCAGCTTTACACCCTGGCCTAGTCCGTCCCGCTGGGCAGGTTCCTGGCAGATGAGTTGAATTCACCTGTCTCCAGGCTGGACCGGCTCTGCCCATCCAGGCCCAGCTTGCCTTGCTGTGTGGCCATCCAGGCCTGGCAGTCTGGCAGAGCAGCACCTGGCTGGCTCGCTGCACCGGAAGACGACTCTGCCACCTGCAGCTCCCCAGAGGGGGTGCTGGCGCTGCGTCTGCGTGTGCCATGCCGTGGCTCAGGAGCTAACAGGTGCCTCTCTGCACCCCCCTCCCAGCCTGCGTGCGGCGCTTTCCTTTCCTCTACGTCGACATCACAACCGACAAGGGGAAGATCTGGTGGAACCTTCGGAAAACCTGTTTCAAGATCGTCGAGCACAACTGGTTCGAGACCTTTATCATCTTCATGATCCTGCTCAGTAGCGGAGCGCTGGTGAGTCACAGGTTTCGGTCCCTCACCGAAGCCCCCATGTGCCCTGCACAGAGCCCCCTGGATTGTAGGACCCCGGAATGGCACTCTGCATGCAGGCTTTGTGGCAGCACCAGATACTCCCTAAAAGGAGGTGAATTGGATATTAAGCTAAAGGATCAGCATTCAGTGCTTTGGGCACCTGGCCAGGTGAGGGAGGCAGTTTGGGGCTGTGGGCTAAGCACCACAACTGGGGATGTTTTGCTTTGATCAGTGGCAAAATACTTAATGTTGAACAGTAAAATGCCATCAGTAGGTTTCAGGCCAGTAAGCCTGACTTCAGTACAGGGCAAACTGGTTGAAACTATAGTAAAGAACAAAATTATCAGACACACAGATGAACACGATCTGTTGGGGAAGAGTCAACATGGTTTTTGTAAAGGGAAATCATGCCTCACTAATCTACTAGAATTCTTTGAGGGGGTCAACAAGCATGTGGACAAAGAGGATCCAGTGGATATAGTGTACTTAGATTTTCAGAAAGCCTTTGACAAGGACCCTCACCAAAGGCTCTCATGTAAAGTAAGCTGTCATAGGATAAGAGGGAAGGTTCTCTCATAGATTGGTAACTGGTTAAAAGGTAGGGAACAAAGGGTAGGTCAGTTTTCAGAATGGAGAGAGGTAAATAGTGATGTCCCCCAGGGGTCTGTTCTGGGACCAGTCCTATTCAACATATTCATAAATGATCTGGAAAAAGGGGTAAACGGTGAGGTGGCAAAATTTGCAGATGATACAAAATTATTCAAGATAGTTAAGTCCCAAGCAGACTGTGAAGAGCTACAAAAGGATCTCACAAAACTGGGTGACTGGGCAACAAAATGGCAGATGAAATTCAATGTTGATAAATGCAAAGTAATGCGCGTTGGAAAACATAATTCCAACTACACATATAAAATGATGGGGTCTAAATTAATTGTTACCACTCAAGAGAGAGATCTTAGAGTCATTGTGGATAGTTCTCTGAAAACATCCACTCAATGCATCAGTCAAAACATCAGTCAAAAAAGTGAACAGAATGTTGGGAATCATTAAGAAAGGTATAGATAATAAGACAGAAAATATCATATTGCCTCTATATAAATCCATGGTACGCCCACACCTTGAATACTGCGTGCAGATGTGGTCGCCCCATCTCAAAAAAAGATATATTGGAATTGGAAAAGGTTCAGAAAAGGGAAACAAAAATGATTAGTGATATGGAACGGCTTCCGTATGAGGAGAGATTAATAAAATTGGGACTTTTCATCTTGGAAAAGAGACAACTAAGGGGGAATATGATAGAAGTCTATAAAATCATGACTGATGTAGAGAAAGTAAATAAGGAAGTGTTATTTACTCCTTCTTGTAACACAAGAACTAGGGATCACCAAATGAAATGAATAGGCAGCAGGTTTAAAACAAACAAAAGGAAGTATTTTTTCACACAACGCACAGTTAACCTGTGGAACTCCTTGCCAGATGATGTTGTGAAGGCCAAGACTATAACAGGGTTCAAAAAAGAACTAGATAAATTCATGGAGGATAGGTCCATCAATGGCTATTAGCCAGGATGGGCAGGGAGAGTGTCCCTAGCCTCTGTTTGCCAGAAGCTGGGAATGGGCGACAGGGGATGGATCACTTGATGATTACCTGTTCTGTTCATTCCCTGTGAGGCATCTGGCATTGGCCGCTGTTGGAAGACAGGACACTGGGCTAGATGGACCTTTGGTCTGACCCAGTGTGGCCGTTCTTATGTTCAGTATTAATGATTCATTTAGATGAATAAATGAGATTGTTCACAACTCCCGCCCACTCCAGGAAACTTCATTTCATTTGTTCCCATTTGGAAGGGATTTCTGTAATCCCCAAAGATTTGCAACCTAGAGTATAAAAGCCTCGAATGGCCCCAAAATTGGCCATTCCTAGGGACTCCCAATGCTCTGGGAGACACCCTTCCACCCCACTGCGCCTGGGCCCTGCTCTTTGAAAGAGGGTGTCAGAGCCAAATCACAGCTTTTGCGGATCCGTCCCCCTTGCATGTCTTAGATGACTGTGGGTCTGCTCGGGTGGCCGGGCTGCAGGGCGTATAGTCCATTCTCCCTTGGCAAATACACCCACTCTTCGACATTGCCAGAGAACTTTTTTGTAATGGTGGCTTGATTTTACGAGGATGGTTTTATCACTTTTCATCAGCTCTGTGGCCCTGGCTGTCAGGGGACACTCATTAGACAAGAACAGGAGTACTTGTGGTACCTTAGAGACTAATAAATTTATTAGAGCATAAGCTTTCGTGGGCTGTAGCCCACGAAAGCTTATGCTCTAATAAATTTGTGAGGCTTGGTCTACACTTACCCCCCAATTCGAACTAAGGTACGCAACTTCAGCTACGTGAATAACGTAGCTGAAGTCGACATACCTTAGTTCGAACTTACCGCGGTTCAGACGCGGTCCACACGCGGCAGGCAGGCTCCCCCGTCGACTCCGCGGTACTCCTCTCGTTGAGCTGGAGTACCGCAGTCGACGGCGAGCACTTCCTGGTTCGATTTATCGCGTCCAGACCAGACGCGATAAATCGAACCCGGAACTTCGATCCCCAGCCGCCGAAGTAGCGGCTGGGTGTAGACCAGCCCTTAGTCTCTAAGGTGCCACAAGTACTCCTGTTCTTTTTGCGGATACAGACTAACACGGCTGCTACTCTGAAACCTGTCATTAGACAAGATTATTGTATTAGCATTAGCAGCTGGTTATTGCTTTGCTATCCTAGTGCTTGAGTGATGGTTTGAAGTTGGTCAGACAGTAAGTCATGGATCAGCTTGTTTTTGGTTCCCCTTTAAATATTTGGACTGAATACATCTGGGCTGCAAAAATCAGTCCTTGTTTGCATTCCTGAGACCTTCCTACCTGCAACTCTGGGGGTAACATTTTCATATGTGTCTAAGTGACTTAGGGGCCTGAGTCCAATTTTCAGAAGTGGCTTAGGCACTTAGGAGTGCCACTGTCAATGGACATAGGCTCCAAGGCCTCAGAATTTCAGAGGTATTTAGGTGCCTAAAGATGCAAATAGGCACTCAGTGGGATTTTCAAATGCCCTCTGCGCCTATCTCCCATTGATTTCATGGCACCTTTGGATGCTCAACTACCTTTCAAAATCCAGCACTAAGTGTCTGTCACTTTTTAAAATGGGCTTTAGGCTCCTAAGTCACTGAAGTGCTTTGGAAATTTTTGCCCTATAAAACCACCAGAACCCTTTAAATGTAGCAAAAGGAGAAAGGCCTCAGTCCGGCTGCTGCTCTCCTGTCCCACTGTAGCCGTGAATTCCTCTGCTTGGAGCCCATCTCACGGAAGCCCGACTCATCTAGCTCTGCGTCTCTGCTAGGCTTTTGAAGACGTCTACATTGAGCAGCGGAAGGTGATCCGCACGATCCTGGAGTACGCTGACAAGGTCTTCTCCTTCGTGTTTGTCCTCGAGATGCTACTCAAGTGGGTGGCCTATGGTTTCAAGGTGTATTTCACCAATGCCTGGTGCTGGCTCGATTTTCTCATCGTGGATGTAAGTTGCTGCTCGAGCAATGGAGCAGGAAAGAGCATCTCCATGATTTGGAGCTTTACATTAGCAATCAGCAGATATTTCTGCAGCAAAGGGATAGCTCTGGGGCACGGGAAATGTAGCAATCTCTGGGTCAAGGGCCATTTGGGTCTGT